AACGCGAGCGCGCAGGAATCGCGACGCGAAGTGCACGCTGAGTAATGAGGATGGAACATTCGCTCGCATTTGCTGCCTCGGGTATCAAATGTTCGTTAGAGCGAATTGATGGAACTCCCTTCGCGACCGGTCGGGAAAAAACTCGCGCGCAGATGATCTCGATCGCGGCGAGGGATCGCCCACCGATGGATCTGGATCCTGACCTAAAAATTAGCGGCCGATTTCGCGAAAGCGGCTAGGCACGTTCCGAGCAACCGCGCTTGCAACTCCGTCTTGAGTGGCTGGCTCAGCATTTTCGCGACTCAAGTGTCCGCTCGACGCTTTCAGGAGCCATCATCCGGAGCGCAGCCGGCCCGGCCGGGAGAGCTTCGCGAGAGGAACAAGCGGAATCCACGCGAAAGACCTGGTACCCCGAAGAAAGCGAACAACGCGAGAGATTTCTTGGCCAACCGATTTCCGGACACTTGCGGATAATTAACGCTAGAACTACCAGTCGACGTTACTCGAAATTATTTTACGAATCGATAGCTGCACTCTCATATGAGACAAGAAAACAATTTCTCCGATAATTCCTCGGTGAATAATTTCTTATCATTTCAATGTTTGAGAAAAGAGAAACCGGGAACCGATCGTTTCGACCTGTCTGGTAGTTCTAGTGTTAAATCGGCTCAGGAAACTTCGAGTCTAGGCGCAACCTCGTCGCACCCAGGAAACCGACGGCTAGTTTACCTCTGGCTGGAAAGATCAAAGCCGCGGACCTAATAATTACGAAGAGGAAACATCGAACCGTGTCACGTTCGTCTGCGAGGAGCTGTCGAAGAAGTAGCTGGCGTACGGAGGCAAAGAGAAGCAACTACTCCCTTCAATTTAGCCGGGGACTTAGTGCTTCCGGCTAATTGAGACGAACGTAAACTCTTCAGGGGACTACTTATCTCGAGTATGAAGAAAATGCGCGAATATAAACAGCTTTGCTACCTTCCGCTCTCTGGCCGCTAATTAATTACTAATTCTGCCTCTAGATTCTCGGGCGATCTTTTTAGATCCTTGCATTTCAAGGGACGTCGATCGATAACTGTTGGCAAATTAATTGAGGCTGCTCGTTGAAGGCGTCAAAGGCCGTACCCAATCGAATCAACAGATCGAAGCTCTCTCGACGCGAATCGAACGAAAGGGACGCGATGAATTCCGCGAAGAGGAGCTGGACAACAACGATAAACAATACTCCCGTTAATTATACGGGAGCCGGGTAAGAAGGGCGAGCCATAAGCGTGCAGGACGCCCCCGAGCATCGCGCAGAAACGCTTCGGGGCAGCGAAGAATACGCGAATCTGGGACAGTTTGATCGATAATGGCGTAAACCTGGCCGCGGCGAGTCCGGGCACGGCAGCCTAATTGGATCCTCCTTAAATAAGTATTTCAATTTATCCGCAACGCGGCACCCGCGCAGAACGGCAGCGTAAATCTCTGCGCGGGGCGGCTTCGACACGCGCGGCAAGATTAACAGGTATTCAGCGATCCTCGTCGGTCGTTCGAAACATCCCGCGGACGTGTTTGATCGGCTTCGAAATTAATTTCGTGCACGATCTCGTAAAGATATTTGCTCTTTTTCTGTTTGCTCGTAGTCTTTACGTGTCGCGAAAGATAGTCGTTCGCTGTACGATTAATTGGAGCAGTGTTATCTAAATGTGACCATCTGTGGATCTCTTCGTCCCTTATTTCATCCCTTTCGGGTCGCATTGTATTCATTGATAGATAATTGTGGGCCCAATTATCTTAAGCTTCTACTATTGTGTACGTTAAGGCCCACAGAGGATCAGGTTTTCCATGTTGGTCACAGAGAATATTGGATATTCGACTCTGACGCGGAAGGAACATTAAATTTTCGATTCGAATTCGCAAAAAATATGAAACTCTCTATTCCGGCGCAAAAGACAAAGCTTGCCCATTACCGGCTCAAAGGATTCCAGAATCCCAGCGAGCCCCGCTTTCGCGAGCTGGGAAACAAGCGGAGAGGAACCCGCGCTCTCGAAAATACCGTGGGCTTCTGTCGTTCGGCCTTTATTCGGATTTCGCGACCTACTCGTTCAAGGTCACGCGTCGTCTGCAGCATTCATAGTGATGCACCGGCGTGCATTCTGCGCCGACGAGAATCGATAAACCACGGCAAAGGGATTAAAGCCCGGCCGGCTGCACGACCCGCCCGCGAAATTTTCGCCCGCCAATTCCCGCGCCAGCATCTCCTCCCGGCGGACCTGTCCCACGGATCCCGAATTAATCAACGGATCCCGCGATAAAGAAAGGTTAACGAATCTCTTTCCCGATAACACCGGGGAGCGCGTCGATATCGGCGCAACCGGGATTATCGAATCAAATTGAAAGCAGTTATCTATCGACGAGCTACTCCTTCAGAGCCAGTGATGCAGTCGTTTTATTTTAGAACTTAATCACGCTTTAATCGCCAATTCGCATAATGGGTGGTGCCGATAGCGGTCGCGAAATGTTGGAAAATGTTCTCCATAGAACGAACAAGCTACAATTCACAGTGGAATCCGTGGGAATCCGGGAAAGTGACACTGCCGAATCTTTGTTGAGAATGCTTGCGTAAGAACGCGTCAACAGATAATGCAGCGGCAGCGAATTATGCAACGCGAATGGAAAAATGAACGTGAGCACTATCGCGATGTTTCCTGGAGCTAATAATACGAACGGACTATGTTGGAAAGACGAGCTGAATATCGTTCGGTTCTTTTCGCCGAAGAAATATTCTAATGAATTACGTGTGCCTCGCGTTGATGCACCCACCGCGCCACGTGACGAGCGTTAAACCCGTAACGCGCGGTTATCTGTAACAACAAATTGGAAGGGACACGGTTGCGTCATCGTGGATGCGAGTTCGCAATTGCAAAATTGGCTTTGCGTCGCAAAGAGACGCCTCTCAGCTGGTGCCGCACACGAAGAAACCTTACGACCGTCTCTCTTGCACGGTGCCGTTCAACGAATGCAGCGTGATAAGAAAGTTCATTCCTTAACCCTCTATCGGCCGAACTTGTTTTTTTCATTTTTATCTTGTAATACTTTGTAATTTGCCACTTTGCTATGCAGAATCGAATAAATCAACAGAACTCCAGTATATCGGTATGCGATTTCAAAGTCACACGAGCCTGTAGAGGGATAAATAAATGATTCTATACACCGAAACGTACTTAGACTCTTCTCACTTCGAGCAAGAAGGATATCCGTGACTGTCGCAGGAGGAAGTCAACTTCCTTGGTCAACAGGTTACAAACCTATTTCTCAGCTATCGAGTTCTGACTAACTCTTTCGAATATTCGCGTTTCGAACGAAATAAATTGCAAATCATCAATGTTCCGTCGAGACGAACGAAAGCTGTTTGTCAAGCTTGGAACCGTTGTTCCAATTCTTTTTGGGAAAAAACTGAAGTTACTGATAGTCGTACAGTGTAATACTTCGTTTCAAGTTTTTCAGCCAGCTGGCAGTGTTATCAACCAACGGTAAACGCGTAAATAGGTGGAAATAAAAATGTATACAAATCGAAACTCGAGTTGTGATTGAAGTTGGCGAATTGTCTAGCGAATTCTGTGCAGCTTGGACTGTTTTCTTGTTGAAAATCGCGTGCCTCGACGAGTTATGAGCATCGTCGGCAACGTGCGTGGCCGAGCGTTGACCAAACAACGCTCGCTAATCTGTATTCGAAATCAGAAACCGGACTGCAGCGATTACAATCGCGCGAACGTGCAGCTCGCGGATAAATCCGAGCCGATCTAATTTTAGATCGGCTCTAATCACTCGGTCGCGACGCCGAACGTGTTTACGAAAAAAGATTTAATTAATCCGCGAACGGGTGCACGCGGTCACTCGATATCCGATTCTCCGGTGGAACAAACAAGAGATTGGCGAGAATCTTCGGATATCGTGCAACGAAAAATGCGACGCCCCGGATTAGTGCGAGACTCGATTCGTTCGCTTGACAATAGTTGAATTCCAACGAAATTCCCGTTAAGGTGAAAAATGAGCTCCAAGTGAAAACGAGCCGAACGCGACTTAAATCGGATAACAATGGTCTCTCGCTAAACCGGGGAGCGAATTTTTCCTGCGTTATTCGAGGAACTTAAGAAACCTCATTGTCATCCGATGCGTAGTGTGTTTGTGCTCATTTTGCTCCTGAAAACACCGCTGATACAATGACGATGCTTTAATAATCGATATTGTTCGATATTTTAGCAACAATTTCCGTTTAATTGACGAACGTGGCGCGATAAAGGTTCAGAACGCTTCTCGCGATCCGTGCTACCTCGTCGCGTCCCGAGGAAGAATATCCGAGGGAAAGCGTGAGCAAACGGTGCGGAGCCAACTCTGTTTGCACTCATCCGGGGTAAATCGTTCGCACTAAAGCGGACAGTACTGTAGTTATTTTCGGTGTCCGGCGCGAGCAACACGTTTCTGCCCGAATACGAGCATTCTTCGATGCGAAACTGGTCGAACCACGTTGCACAGGCCCGAGTATCGACACTCTATTCAAATCGATAGCAATAATCGTCCACCGCGAATTTCCATAAGGAACTAATTATAGATGATGACAGTGGAAGGTTACGATTCACGCGACTTCGGTTCGCCGTCACTGCTAAACCTAGCGAAAATTACCGACCATATACGCCGTCGACGAAATTAGCGTTAACGATTCGAGGTAGACCGTGAAAACGAGTAAAATGTAACTGCCGACGAGAATACACCGCACCGTGAACACGGTTATGTTTCTGCGCTCGTCGAACGTCAGATGTCAGAAACGCCGAAAAACCAACCCCCATGGTGGTCCGTCCTCTAGTTCTCTCATGTTTTCAGTGACAAATCGACAAACAGAATATTTGGTACCGATGCCTGTTCTCGCACGTACGCACGTACCGATCCAGAGCACGATACCAATCAATAACATCCGCGAATTAATCACGGGATATAGGGGATGAAAGTGACAGGTGACATACCGTGGTTGGTTCTCCGCGCGGTTCGAGCTCCTTCGGCGCAGTCCTCCTCGGATTTCCACGGCGATCTTCCCGGCACAGGTTCAAGGAGCACAACAAACGAGCACACGCGGCACGCGCGAACGTCTCCGTTCCTGTCGACACGTTCCCGACGACTGTCTTCGATTCACGGGCAACGAAAAACGGCGAGGCGAAAACACGAAGCGCTGACCGGCCGACACAGCTAACAACCGCGCCTCTAAAGCTTGCAGCAGCGAACTGGCATCTTTCGTGCGGCAAACTTTCGCGCAAGGGCGCAACGCGCCCTCCGATTGGTCGCCGTGCCCGCGGATAAGCCAATCGCGATCGATCGTTCGCCGAGCGTTGACCCCCCCTCCCACTACACATCCATAACACAACACACAGCACTGTCCCCTGAGCTTTACTCGGGTTTCTCCTGCTCTACCTTCGTTGCCAAGGAAACCGAGACGCTACGCGAAGTACGTATTTGCCGCCATCTACGGCGCTGCTATAGATTTCTTACCCTCATCTGTTTCCTTTAGGCTATTCTTTGGGTATTCCGATTGAAATTTCTTTCGTTTCTCAACGTTTCGCGGGAAGTTTAATATGACGTTACGCTTACTTGGCACAGGACAAGTTCCAAGCGGGAAAAGTATTTCTGATAATGGAAAGCATCGCCGTGGTCGTTGTACTTATAATAGTATTTCACGCAGCTGCTGTTGATAATAAATTTTTCGTATAGGCCGAACCGTTTGCGACGATAACAGCTCTTCCATAAGTAATCCGATAAGAGTATCTCGCCGTAATAATTTTGCAAATTATAAACGGTGTCCTCCGATTCGTATGGGTGTATAACCCCGTTGAAACATGCGATTAACTTGTTCAGCATTGACATGACAACTTGTAACCGTTACTTTGTTCTCATCCATTTTATTAACGTACATCTACGATATGGTATCCAAATATTTCATTAATAGGCGATTAAACACTTCTCCGATTAAAAAAATCTGTAAAACTGCGAATTTTTTTACAGATGTCACCCGATAAGAACGGATTTTGACGGGATATTGTGTTGCGGGGAAAAAACAACGAGCTTATCGATACGTCGTCGATCGATTGATGTATCGCGCATTTTAAACAATTGCTCCACACGTAAGAGGAACTCTACTTTTCCCGTGTGCAGGAAAGAACTTCTTTATATGTCGAATCCGTATCATGTACCGAGAAAGGATAGGAATATAACTTTCGATAACGATTTAAATACACCGACGAAGTCCAAATTTTGAAATTCTTCATTAAGAAGTGTACATCAAAACTTGTCAATTAGTTGTAATATGTGTTGTTGCTCCGCTTCTCGCCATTCCGTGTCACCAGCGTCACCGAGATTTCCAGCGTATTCTGATGAACAAAGATATTTATGTAGTATATCTTCATGAATACTGAAATATATAAAACCTCTTGATTAAAATTATACCTCTCATAATGTGTCTAATTGTTTTGAGGGAAGCTCTTCTTTGTGCTAAAATTCGCGTAACTCTCTGTTTCACTGCCGGTGGACAACCGGTACAAGCTTCTAATAGTACATAGTCTACTAACTGTAAAATGAATAATCCGCCATCCAATCTTCTCAGGTACGATTCTTCTTCATCTTCATCTTCCTAAAGATAATAATAGTTGTAATGAAAGAACTCACAAAGATAATGTCAAGTAAATCTATTAAATTGTGAACCTTAGTGTTCTTTTCAACTTCTTCTACTTTCTCCAAGTATTTGAAATGAAGCTCCATTAATCGATCTACTTTCTCATAATCGTTTTCAGTAAATTTACTCAATAATCTTTGACGTTGTTGACCTTTGCAATTCCTTAACATACTAGCAATGATCGATACTACATGTTCTAAAATATGAAAAAAGTAATTAAGACATTCTAGGAACCTATTAGAGAAATATATATTATATATTTCAGTTACCCTCATGTTCTTCTGCAGTAAGCATTTTCTTCCTATTTTTTGTTGGTGTTTTCATAAACAAGGGAAATATAGTTCTCAATCCAAGAATATCAACAAATTTACTACAGTTATCTTTTCCATCTGGACCATTCATTGCATGATCTAATACCTGATGAACAATGAAAATATAGTAGAATGTAATAGAACATCCAAATCAAAATTTACCTTAAGAGATCCGTTTCTGGACATTTTCTTTTCCCTCAACATTAAGTTCATAAGTTGCAATCCCTCCCCTCTTAAAAATCTATCTCGGTTCACTGTTGCCATTAAGCATGAACATAATACATTAAATAAATTTTCCATCATTTCTTGTTCTTCAGCTGTTTGGGGATCATGCCTTTTATAATACTAAAAATAATATACAACGATGCGTTATAAAACGGAAATAAATAAATTATAAAATGAAAATTGTCTATATACCGCTAACTGTTGTAGCAACACATCAATTCCATCAAGTTCTCCAAGAAGAAGTCTATTTTCTGCAGTACTCTGCAAAAGAATGGATAACAGTTCGCTAGCATAAAGTTTATTGGCATCAAATGGTGCTTTTGTTTTAATTCTACGCAATAACCACTGCATTAATCCTTGTTTTCCTGCATCAGCACATAAATCGGGTCTAAATTCCAAAAGATTTTCAAAGATGGCTGAAAAGAATTAACATTATATGATCTTGTTACATTCAAAAGACTCCAATTATGATTAAGATACCTAAAGTATTATAAACTCCATCACTTTCTTCTTTCACAGATTCATCCAGCCTTTCTAAATTTTGTACAAGAAGTGCACAAACTTGTTGCTCTAATAATGCATCAATGAGTGTATCTGCTCCCTCTTGACTTTCATGTAAAATATCTACATCCGTTAATTCTTGCAGAAGGTCAACAACACCGACTGCTATGTCTGTGTTCTCGTGTGATAATAATTCCAGTAAAGAAGGTACAGCACCCAACTCTACCATTAATGGATAAAGATCTGGATTAGTAGCAACTACATGAAGTTCTTGAAGAGTTTCATGCAGTTCGACCTCAGATTCCATAAATCTATTAAAATGAATGTTACATGAGTTTCTTAAATCTACTGTCTGACAAGTATTGGATAAAAATTAACATACTTTTCTGGTTGATCAGGGAACTTCACTCTCATTTCTTGATTCCTCAGTGCTCTTTTCTCAAACAGAAGTACCATTCTTTTAAGCGTTGCTTCATCCAATGCTTCAACTTCTGGAGCTTCAGTCTCAACATATTTTAAAATATCTTGCTTTTCCTTCTCTGTCAATTGTGGTTCAACTACATCATTCGCTGGTGAAGGCAAAGCGGCTCTAATAGGTGTAGGTGGTTCACTACTTCTGACTGGAGTGACTTCAATTTCTCTTGTTTGTCTTTGACGCGGATGATACGGAGTTTTAATAACCCGTTTAGGTTTCTTAGCATTTTCCCATTCATCTTCGTCGTCTTCTTCCCCCGCTACTGGTCTTTTTGGTGTATTCGGCGGCTATAAAAAAACAGCTTCGTAACGCATAAATTTTGTAAGGTTAATTAGGTTACAATGAACCGTCTTGACATCAACAAAGTACAAGGCGTCTTTTTAACATTATTTCACTGTGAACATACTTTATACGAAAGTAATTCACCGATATCCATTTGCAACGATTAGTAATTGTATTTCGTATTCACAAATTGTGTACTATTTTTACAGTCGTTAATCCCACTTGATATCTTCCATTATTACAAAGAAATTGTCACTGAAAATGCTCATAAATTGTAAACATTATATTTTACAGAAAGAATAAAATATCAACGCAATAAATCGTTTAATTATTTCTTTAATCAACTGACACTACTTGGTTGTTTCTATAGAAAATTGTTCCGTATACACTACGAAATATAAAGATGTCAGTAGTTTCCCTGTAGTGGAAATAGAAAGTATCATTTCATGATTCGTTGGATAGATTTAAAAATATATATTTGTATATTTTTTTCAATTTTGGAAGGAACATTTATTAATTCTAGATGATTTGTAATCGTTTATTGATGCAATACTTCTTACGGTTATGATCTTGTTTACTATGCAAAGTTACAAATAGTAGACTTTGATAACCACTGTTACAGTACACTCGCTGTGATAGTATTGTTTGTCCACGTCATTACTTTCGTGGATGTTAAAACACGAATGGAAAGATTTATTAAACAATATGGAAACATTATATCATCAAACAAACAAACTGGTCCAAGAAACTCAGCACCTGTTCTCACAACTTGAGAAAAAATCGCCTAACCTGGACATCAATGAAATTGAAAACACTATAGAGTCAAAAATAAATCTTATCAACAGGTAGTTAATTAACAAATTTTGATCTACGCATATAAAATTAGCACAGAATACAATTCTTTGATAAATTCATTTGCTACATGTATCAAACATATGAGTTTATATATATGATAAATTATAGCATCGAACGTAATCTTAATTATATTCATCAAATGCATTTATTTTTGTAGTAACTGTGAAAGATTGGATGTTCTATGCTTGAAGGGTCCTATACATCAAAGGCAAAATGCTAAGATGAGAGTAGACCAACTGAAATATGATAGTCGTCATCTAATGGCTGCATTGAATACTTGGCGCAATAAAATGATAAAGAAGCAAAGGGAAGAAGCTGAAAGGGAGGCATTATTGTCTACAACATTCACTGCAAATGACCATGTTGATATTATGATTGACCATAATGCTCAACACAATTCTAGTTTACAAAATGCAATTCATGGAGTAGATGATCTTATTCAAAGTGGAGGCAGTATCTTAGATAACTTAAGATCTCAAAGGATATCATTAAAAGGAGCTCATAAACGATTAATAGATATTGGAAATACATTAGGTCTTTCCAATACCACAATGAGACTAATAGAAAAAAGAGCCAGACAAGATGGGTTTGTTTTAGTTGGTGGAATGATATTCACATGTCTTATTATAGTTTTAGTTATAATTTACCTCACATAGAAAAAAAATCTCTAAACAATTATGCAGGGTGATAGAATTAACAATACAATTGAAATATTTCTATTGTTGGAACAAACAGCTACCTCTTCTGAAATTGTATATTTGACATGTTTTTGTTACTTTTGCAAGAATAGTACTGAAAATGTTTAAATTAATAAGAAAAGTCCTTTGTTCTTTGCACATTAAATTGAATGTTACAACATGAAACTCAAATGTATGATTGTTATACATTATATGTATTATATGTTATTATTAAATGTATTTGTATATAATAAAATATAAAAAATATATTGCACACTATTTTCAATATTTTCCATGCGTTATATAATTATTTAAGTATGAAACTTGATTAAGCGATAAAGTAATACAAATTTATTTCTCGAAGTTACATCGTGGTTATATATTTTATATGTTGGTATCGGTAAGCCCGATTTGATTAAAGTTAATTAATTAAAATGAAATAATGAAAAACCCACGTGCTTGTATAATTCTGTGACATGTTCGTTACAGTCCAGGTATTACTTTACGTCAATAAAAAATTCATATTCTCAACGTGAATTGCGTATATAATGTTACACATGCATGAAAGCATTGTAAGTTATACGTGAAGCCACTTGTATGTTTATAAAGTGAAAAATAACATTTATATATTTTTATTTGTTACAGATATTAGTACAATTTTTAAATATTAAACCAATTTGTATCTGGATTTATTGTAATACTGTATAAGCCCTTTTTCACCATAAAGATAAGCAAGATACTTACAAGTTTCTTCAATAAAAGTATTAATACGAAGTATTTATAATTTGTAGAATGTAAGTATAACTTGTAATATAAACTTAGCCATAGTATATTATTGTGTATATAAATTTTCGTATCATTTATATGTTTAAAGATTGTTAAAAACGATTTTATATAATAATATTCATATGATTAACCTAAGACATGAATGATGCACGAAAGCAAAGTTAAAAACTTATATTTATACGGTGTGCTTTTAGAAATCGTTGTATACTTCTAAGTATTTTTATAAAATATAGTTCATTTTTCTGCTTTTAATCGTTTCTCATATATAAATAAGTCATAAAGTATCATGATTATGTAATAGTTTTTCCGTTTTATTTTAAGGATCTTATTTCTGATTCTATAAAAATAAGTGTTTATAATTGACTCTGATTTCGTCAGTGAAAATTTATACATTTGCTGTTGACTTTTTGTCATAAGAAAAGTGTGTAGGTAAGTATTGTTTGCTTAAGTTTTATATGTAGAATTTTCCTTTTGCTTAAAAGAGTACTTTTGATAAGCAGGTGAATGAAAATCTATAAAACAATTAATATTAAGGGCACCTTATTTTAGAATGTCTTTTCCAAATAAAGAGGATCGTACAAAATGTTGGAACTGTAGAGACGAATATTGGAAATGTCTTGATGAGGGTAAATCAGAAACTGAATGTAAGAAATTTAGAGATGAATATGAAAAGTTTTGCTCTAAGATATGGGTAAGATTTAAATGCTGCATGAATATTTCTATTACAGTATTTAATGAATAAAAAGAATAATAACAGTACAATGTATCTAAGTAAAGTATACTTTCTACTTTTTATTGTATTTTTTAATGAAGTCTGCATTTTTATCAATTCTTACTAGGTAAAACACTTTGATCGAAAGCGAGAGTTCATAAAATTCAAAGAACAAATAGAAAATGGGGGGTATGTGCCTGAAGAGTCAATTCCATCACGAAACTAATTTAGTCATTATAATTTATAAGTCACTATAATTTAAACTAATACTATGGAACTGTTTTCATATTAAAGTTTACTCATTTCTGTTGTAATAAAACATATGCTTAAAAATAACATGGTATTATTTTATTACATTATATAAGTATCCTTAATCTATTACATTAAGAATATGTTGTATTTTTTTCAATTTTAGACATATATAAACCTTTAAACAAAAAGCTAATTTGATGGCTGCTAAATAATGTGCTTATTCACACTTAAAGCAATAATTTATTACTCTTTGAACTGTTTTCAATTGATTTTGGCTTTACAGGAATTAAATATATTATAATTACTTTCATCTGCATTGAATTAATATAGATAATTAAGAAAAGAATTATTTTTATTAATTCCAGGATATGTGACACTGATAAAAATAAGACAGAAAAGGTTGATTTGCCTGTTCAAGTTGCTACAAAAGCAACTCTTGAGTTACAAACAAGAAAAACTCAGTAGTATAATTAGAAGAAAACAAACACAAAGATTAAAGTAAAACATAATCAATTACCTATACAAAAATGTGTAAAAAAAATGTGGAAGTAACTCATTTAATTAAGGAACTGCAATCATGTACAGAAGACAATATGATTTTCAGGGTCAGTAACTTTCCATACAATAGTATTTTATTTGTGGAAATTATCTTTCAGTATTTTTATAAAATATTTTAATTTTTTCAGAGATTAATAAACTATGCTTCATCATATAAGCAATCATGGAATGATGAAAATCTGAAGGAGTGGCAACCAGTGTTTAGATACATTATACAAATTTTTATTCCAAACCCAGAAATAGGAAAAGAACGAACTCTTTTAGCTTCCCACACATTTTTTGCTTTACTGTCAATGGATTCTACTTTGGTGTTTATGAACAAAACTCTTAAAAATTTTTTAAATTCTAATTGCAAAGAATTATACTTTTTGGATGAAAAACATGATACTGTTGAACTTGAATTATTCAAGTTAAATTGTATTTATGGATATTTACAAGTAAATTGTAAAGAAATGTACTTTAATGACATTTGTTCCCTGATTTTTCATGTTATATATGAACACTGTATAAAATATACTAAACATTCTTATTTTTCATACAAAGTATTGCACTTATGGTTACATAGAACTATGAATATAGATTATTGGATCACATGTGATTTAGCAGTAGAGAAAAAACTAGAGTCAATTATTTTTTCAAATTGGTGTAATGCAATCAATGAAATAAGTAAACAGAATTCAGTGTCCATTTTTAATATGTACCTAAAAATTATGGAAAACAAATATAATGGTTACTTAGAATTTGCATTTGAACATTGCGTTAATCAAATTTCTTGGCAAAGTGAAATAAAGTACGATATTCTCGCGGAAATCTGTGAGGTTTGGGATAATATTAAAGTAATGACATCTTATGAATTTTTACTTTTATTATCCACTAGCTTAACAAAGTATAATTTACGTTCAGCGGGTACAAAAGTTTATATTAGCATTATTAAAAAATTAAGTGAGGATGAGTGGAAGAAAGTTTTCGGTTGTGTACTAGATTATCTCTTTCATCATTGGGAAACAGACGAAAAGTGAGTGTAATTGTAAACTTTCATACATAATGAGATAAGTAAACATGAAACAAATATAACAGTTTGAATTATTTTCAGTGCAAATTACAATGCTCTTCAATTACTTTGTAAACATTGGCTTGAACCAATCGTGAAAAAATATAAAAGTATCCTACCATATTTATGGGATATGACAAGAGATATTAATGGATATTTTCTTCAATCATATCTTCAGAGAGTAGCTAGAGAAATAAACATTGATCTTCCACAAGAACCAAAAATTGAATGCTATATAAATCATAACAAGGAAATTGTAAGATTGAATGGTTTTGCAATAAATTGTTATCAAGTAAACAATTTGTATCATAAAAATAGAGATTGTTTCTATATACTAAGAAATTTTTTATGGCATAATGCAAACACTACGGCAGTGAATATGAGAGATGGAATTGTTAAATATTTTAAAATATTTTATGCCAATGTTTTAAAGATGTGTGAGAGTAAACCAGATTATATACATGATGTATATTATATCACACATTGGCTGCACGAATTTTTATTGGATTGTTTTGAAATTGGTTCTTGTTATCAACGAAAAATACTTGGTTTAAATTTGTACAGGGTCATGCTTTCTTTTACTAATGCGAATGCATTGAATAAATGTAGCAGTACCGAAAATACATTATGTGCTTTATTACTGCAGAAACATCTGAAAGAAACCAATAATTGGAACTTCACAAATAAGGCCAGCTTATTTAATTTATTAAGACTTGTGTTAGATTCAGCACTTGATGTCAAGCAACTAAGTACTTCTATGATTCTCGATTACTTTGATAAGAACATTTTAACGAATTCGGAAAAACAAGTAAGAGAATCTTTTTTTAATGTTTCTTCCTTTTGAACAAATTATTAATAATTAATATTTTCTTAGATACTGTATACAGTAGCACTGACACATTGCAATTCCTACAAGTTCTATGAAACCGAAAGTGGTGCAGCTCTAATTTCGATACTAGCAAATTGGCTACCTTTAAATAAATTTGATGGATACAAGAGTTGTAATAACTATTCAAATTATTCAGACTTCTTGCTTAATGAAGCTGTAAATCAACTAACGCAGATGAAGGAAGATGTATTAAAGGCAATAGTTCAGAAGAAACCATTCTATGGAGTATTAACTGCTTTATTAAATATTGCCTTTAAAAATGGACCAGAACACGATTGTTTAACATTAGAAGTTGTTGAAAGAATATTACTTATGTTAAAGGATGCTATTAGCTTCTTTCTATCTGTACTTTCTTTAAAGTCAGAAAACAAAGGTACTCTATTTTTAAAAATGTAAAGTATGATAGGTGTAATTAAGACATAATTAAATTCGCAGAATATTCATCTTCCTTTGCGGAAATGGGATTAGCAATTGATGCAGTCATTAAAAATAGTGCAGTTGATAACATCAATTTTGATGAGCTGTGTCTAACTCCCGCACACCAGGTCCTCGTTTCTTGCATTTGGATGTCTTTAAAGGTAATACATTCTTTCGTTATGACCCATATAATATAATATTTTAATCGAATAAGACAATAATATGCTTCATCCACAGGTCTCTTGTGAAATAGCCTCTGAAATAGGAACATTAATGTGTTCAGATGAAACAGTAAAGAGTTCTATTGATATTATTGTTACTGTATTACTTAAATGTAGACACAAAGGCGTAGTAGAAGCTGCGGGTACATTAATCGGACGCTTAACTAGGTATTATATAAAAAATTAATTGAAATACTATGTACTGATAAATAATTAAAAATTGTAGGCGTTTGTGCAACGAAGTTAAATATTATGGTTTAATAAAAACGCACGTGTCACGCATCCTGGAAAATGATGCCATGCAATCTTTAAACATTACTAGAAGAGGTGCTGGATTATCAATAATGTTCCATAGAATGGTTGTTAATGATACTCGACGAGATAGGCCTCTTCTGCATTTTGCTGTACAGAAACTGTTAAACCTATTGCATGATTCTCCCAGTGCCTTTTCCGAGAGTATGGTGTCTCAACATGATTCTCCTTGGGCAAGGCATTTACATTTTCTTCGTGCATTGGTAGCTGATAAAGAAGTACATGTACAATTAATTCCTTACATGGAAAGAATTTCTTTAATCTGCTTCAGATATCTGGAATCTGAAATATGGACTATCAGGTAACACTGCATATATTCTGAAATTCACAATAGAAACTACAATCGTTTTATACATTTCAGAAATGCAAGTCTACAGTTGTTCGGTGCAATAGTTCCGAGATTGGCAGGTCAAAGTTGCGGGGATGCTTTAGACTTTGGAACTGGCTATCCTATCAATCATTTCATTACACATTATCCTATACTCGCTAGTTACGTGATGAAAGAAATTTCCAACTTCTCTTCTACTTTCATGGAATTTTCTACTGCGTTATATTTACATTCACGTATCGTACACATCCTCATACTTCTTTCTAAATTTTCAAACAGTAATTGCAATTTCATCGACTACTCGTGTCAAGAATTTGTGTCAAGGGTAAAGTGTTTAATACGGACATTGTTTAAAAATCCCGTTTTATACGTCAGACTTCTAGCTGCAAAGGCATATGCGGCTTTAACAGACTTCTTGAGTATCGAGCTTGAGATTACAGAGTTAAAACAGCATATTTCCTCAAGCAAAAATGCAAATTTGATTCACGGTTATTTACTAACTATAAAACATCTGATGGAAAAACTATCGGTTGAAACTTGTAATACCAGTTTGAATTCTGTTTCACAATATACGAATCATTATGGATCGTCACAATGTACCGAATTGTCACGACTACAAAAAATATTGCAAGCATGGGATAATATACCCCAAGAGAGATACAGGGTATGCTACATATTAGAAACATTGCATTTGCAATTAGCAGAGCCTCTTTTCGGTAAACTGAATACTATAGACATACATCTTTTCGATCGAAATTCATCCGTATTGTCTTCTGAAAGGATAAAGCCAGGCTTTTTTCAGTACATCGACTATTACACAAAATTATATGCAAACTATGTTAAAGAAACGAATAATATCAATGCTGACATTCTAGATAAAATTTTAACTTCTTATTGTATCGATCAATGCATTTCCTTCTTAAATAGTGTAGGGAATTGTATGCCAGTCTTGAAAGTCGTTCTTGAACGTTTACTTCTAAACGAACGTGATTATACTGAATTGCATATGAACGCAATGACAAATTACGCTCTAGATACTTTAAGACATTTGTCGTTAGTTGACGCGAATGACTTAAATATGAAAGAATTGGTGAAAAATGTATCTTTCCAAAAAGAAGATGTAACGAATTCTAAACTACAACGTCTGAAGTGTATATTAATAATAATGTATTCTGATGATAGTATAATTATAAACGAAATATTATCACATATTTTGCATCTGTCTGTTCATGAAGAGGAGTGCGTAAGACAAATAGTGGTTGAATTTCTACAGTTCTCGATGCGCCGGTTTGCGGAACTGACGAATGAAAATAAATTAACTATTTTATATTGTTGCCTGATTTTGTTGAAGGATGAAATTTCGGAAATACGTGAAATTATTACGAAGAATTTAAATACACATGTTTTACAAAGAACCGAACACGAAGAGTGTATGTATCTATCCTTATTGGACGAAGTAATGCTTGATCGACTAGAGCTTGTTACAAATAAGAACACACATCTATTTTTCGTCAAACATTTTACACAGAATATTAAAAACTTCGACGTCAATGAAATAATTGAGAATCCCTTCTATCACGATGACAATTCTATTTATAGGGAAGAGTCGAAGTTTTTAAATCTTTGTTTTTATTATATACAAGAAAATAAGTACAATTCTGACAAATGCTCCACAGAGTATACCGCAGAATACAGTAAGGACAGCGTCACCGACATCCTAAATAAGATCGAAACAAAATATCGGCTTCAGCGTGAATCTCATCTCGATTTTACTAATTTAGAAATTGTCTTAAATACTAAATACATAGACTATTTATTGAAGAAGCAAAGAATTGTAATACAGGAGTATATGTAATAATAGTAATAATAATCACAATGTACATTTGTAACTGAATGAATCATAAACTAATGAATGATCGTAGCTAAAAATTAAGAATTAATCTTAATTATTGAGGAGTGCTCAAATAAATGTTTTCTAATCCATCAAAGTACACAAGAAATGTTTAATAATCCCGAATAAATACATCTGTACACCTTACGATTATATGAATGAGTGCACATTCACAAAGCATATAACTTCGTATTTACATTATGCTACATTTAATCTTATCAGAATATTAGAAAAATTTTGAAC